GTTGAATTCCATGTCCACACTGCTCATAGTTAGATATGCTCTATCCTGAATACTGAGAACTTTTACTCTGTAAATATTTTATGTAGGTGATCATGGCTTTCCACAACTTCTTGTCTCTTGTAGCTCCTAATAAACTTTGTCTCTCCCAAATCCTGTTTCACCATCCATTTACTTAAGCTCGTTAGGTATGTTATGCAGTGCTTTCCTCTGTCCATCTTGCTCTCTATCTGTCTCATGTGTATCAGATTTTCCAAATCCTCTTTCCTCATTATCTGCCCCAGAAACCTTAACTGTTTCTTTCTGATGTTAAGTATTAGTATCCTTTTTTTCCAAAACTTTGTTACTCACATGTTTGGTCCATGGTATACTTCTGTAGAACCACATTTCTGTTGCTTCAAGTCTCCTCTTCATCTTTGAGGAGATCATCTAACACTGACTGCCATACAGGAGGCCAGATATCTAGCAATTTAGTACATTTTCTTTGTTTTTAGAAATTTTTATTTGTTTCTAGAAATTTTCCTATTTCTTAGTACTCTGCTTAGCTTTTGGAATACTTCCTTGGCTATTCCAATATGCCTTTGGATCTTGGTGTCATTCTTTCCTTCCTTTGTTAAAAAAAAAACACTTCCCAGATATTTAAATTTCTGCACTTGTTTGATTTTGGTACCTCCAATTTGCAATTCACAATCATTTTGCTAAGTATAAAAATATATATAAAAAAAAATCTACAAAAAATTATAAGTCTTTGTACAAATGTTGTTTGTCTTGATTTTTCAATAATTATAATTTTTTTTGTAGATTTTATATTTTTATACTTGTAAAAAAAAAAATTAAGCATAACTTGAAGACATATCAAACACTGTCTTTCCATTCATTTTTCTATTGTACTCTTCTCTAAATGTTGAAATATATTGGAGTTATGACAATCATTTTGTTTACTATTTAATTCTTTTTCATAAAGATTAACAAAAACAAAAATGTGTAAATGAATTTAAATTGTTTAGTTTCTTTTATTTCATACAAGCAACGTCTACCAATCCACATGTTGCTAATTGTCTTGTATAATGTCCCTTATGTCTCTTTTGTTATTGTGTTTAGACAAGGGAATTTTATAAAATATGGACATCTGTTATTTGTGCATTGAATTTGTATGGTTTTCATAATTAAATTCTCAGTAATTATCTCAGCTGCTATTTGTAAATGCAAGTAAAATCAAGATTAATTTGAATTGGAAATTGGAAGAAACTCAGACAGAAAAAGAAGAAAGATGATATCTTGAGAATGGTCTTCAGTTTCCATGGCTACCAATAAATGAATATCATAAATACTGACCATTCCATCATTCCAGCTCATGGTTAGCCATAACTGAATCAGATATTTAGCAGCAATGCTGTTACTATCATGTAACTGTTTCCATTAAATATCTGAAATGATTGTATTAAATTGCTGATTACTGTTGCAATATGCCTGTTCTTAATTACTTCATTACATTCACTTTTTAGGTTTGAGAACGTTTATTAAAAGGTCACATTGTGACTATTTCTTTTTGTTTGTTCAGTGTTAATGTCACTCATATATAAAGTTAAAAATTTGTGTCTGCTCAAAACCCTGAAAATTATTTAAAACTGACATCAAATAAATGTGGTGTTGGATTTATTTGTGCGCCCACTTGAACTGAACATGGCACAAGGCAAAGCCTAGCATTGTATAGCTGTCTGACCTGCTTCCTCCAAAAGGTTGATGACCCCCTGGCCTAGTGGGATAGCACTCTGTGACTCTGCATGAGGATCGTATAATAGCATGGAATGGAGAAATACCTGGATTAGTATCCAGGTGTATGGTGAGCTCACTGAGAGTCAGAGAGACCTAGTTTTGTTAAGACATCTCTGAGCAGAAATGGTCTCCTTGAACCTTATTTGGCAATTCACCTAGTGTTGATGTCAAACATTACACACTGTGAAAGGAATGACCTTATATCAACCAACTCCTCCATTTTTATTTATTTTTTCACAATGCTATTCACCCTATACAAGGCCCAAGAGTCACTCGAGGTAGAGGGTTGCATAAGGAAAAGGCTTTAGAAGGAACCAGAAACCCAGTCCTACTCAAGAAACATGGGATAGACATTTACTCCTGTTCAAAAGACCGGCGAGGAGTGTGAACTGGATGAGGGTAATAAATAATAATGAAATAATAAACTGCCATGGCTATGAATCCATTGGAGGAAACTCCAAGTGGGTAACAGCAGGTGTGGAGTGAAAAGCCAGACTCCTACCAGTTTTGTTTATGCTACTATTAGAAATTGCCTGCATGCCTTTGGATTGCTTAGTGATGATGTGTATTGGAATGGAAAAACCATATAATGTTGGGACCATTTGGAAGTCATAAATAGTTTACTGTTTTTTTTTTTTTTTTTCCATTTATTAATTGAAATATGTTATCAGTCACAAAGCAAATAATTTAAAAACATATTACAAAGATGTTAATTATATGGAGTAAGGAAGTAAGCAGTCAGGTGAGGGAAGTTTTTTTTTTTTTTTTTTTTTTACCACAACATTATTAATTTCGATATAGAGAAGTATTATGCTTTTGAAAGTATTATACAATAAGTTAGAAAATTTCGACATGTAAAAATAAAACTTTTTTTTTTTTTTTTTTAAGATAAGTAACTGAAATTTGGACTAATAAAATTGAATAATAATGACTTGGGTGGGGAGACATTTTCAGTAGAGATAAAAAAAAAAAAAAAAGGATCCTCAAATTATAAAAATTCAGAATAAATACAAAAAAATCTATGAATTATTTTTTGTTAGGAAAAAATCAAAAATATATTCTTGTACATTTTATGGAGGCTGGACTTGTATACAATCCAAATATGCACTACCAAGTGGGTTTGGCCTCATTCACCAGCCTCTTGCCAGTTGCTATCCGTCATACAGACAATATATCCTTACAATTGATGATTCTGTAAATATATCATTCAGTCATTTACAAAATTATTACTGTCTAATGAAGTGGGGGGGGGAGATTTTTGTGTCTGAAGAATAAGATACCTTTATTTTTAGTACCCTCATTATTGAATCTTGTTTGTTGTTTTAATCTTTGGTCATTCTGTCTTGTTCAGTTAAGCTTGAAATATTTAATTGGATTTAAGGGTTGAAACAATTTTTTTTTTTTTTTTTTTTTTAGGCAAGTCTTCAGAAGAGACAGTGGCCAAGAAAGAGGCGAAAAAAGAAGTAAAGGAAATTATTACAAAAGAAGAAACGAAGAAAGTGGAATCTATAAAAGAAGAATCGGAACCAGAACCGGAATCTGAACCAGAACCAATATCTACTACCAGACCAGAATCTCCTGACACCCATTCTTCAACCTTAAAAGTGGAGTTGAAAGCTGATACCGATCAATTCCAAAAACGAGAAATATCTGTTTCCCCTGCTCGATTCTTGCCCTCCCCAACCCCAGAGTCTGCTCAAGTCCATGAAGTGATTGAAAATGCAGCGGTAAAGCTTACAGAATCTGCAGCACCAGCATCATCTGCCTCTGAGCCTGTGACTGCGGTAACCGAATTAGCTATCGAAGAACCTGAAGAAGAGTCTGTAAAAGTTGAGGAAGATGCATCATCAGAACCAACAGAAGAACCAGCCGAAGAAAATGAAATCGTGAGAGAAGAATCGGTTGAGAATCAATGTGTAAAAGATACTCTTGTTAAACCGAAAGAGTCTAAACTTGATCCTGAAGCAGAGCCTTTCATGCCTCGAGATACTGCTTTGATTCAGCAGTTTTCACCTTGTGATAGTTCGATTGTATCTGAAATTGTGGCATCTGGAATGGGAGGTGAAAGTCTTGCTGAACCTATTGAAAAGGAAGCTGACATAGAAGAGCTATCTGATGAGGGAGCAGTTGCATCAAGTGAAGTAGAAAGTGACAACATATCTGTGGAAATGGCAGATCTTAAGGAAGTAGGTGAAGCAGTTACATCAAGTGACGTAGAAGGTGAGAACATATCCACAGAAATGGCGAAACAACTTAATGAAGTAGCCGAAGCAGTTGTATCAAGTGAAGTTGAAAGTGAGAACATATCCACAGAAATGGAGGAACAACTTAATGAAGTAGCCAAAGCAGTTGTATCAAGTGAAGTTGAAAGTGAGAACATATCCACAGAAATGGAGGAACAACTTAATGAAGTAGCCAAAGCAGTTGTATCAAGTGAAGTTGAAAGTGAGAACATATCCACAGAAATGGAGGAACAACTTAATGAAGTAGCCAAAGCAGTTGTATCAAGTGAAGTAGAAAGTGAGAACATATCCACAGAAATGGAGGAACAACTTAATGAAGTAGCCAAAGCAGTTGTATCAAGTGAAGTAGAAAGTGAGAACATATCTGCAGAAATGGAGGAACTTAAAGAAGTAGCAGCAGCTGTTGTGTCTGGACCTCAAAGTGCTGACTATGATGTCCAAAAGCAAGCACTTTCTTCTGGTAGTAATTACACAGTGATTGATACTGACCAAGCCAACAACAACAGCCTGAGCCCACAATTAAGTGAAAGTGACCATCATCTATCTGTTGGTCAGTATGATGACGCTGAGGAAAATCAAAAAGCTGCCGATCATGATTTGAATTCAGACTCACCTTTTGATTTCTTTGATTTGGCCACAAGCCCAAACGATTTTAAACCCAGTTTCGACTTTGTTGATCCAAATGAAAACCTGACAGTGCAGAGGGGCTCTGATGAAGATATTGAAGTGATCAGTGACCAGAAAGATCAAGATGATGATGAGTATATCCCTGACATGGCTTTAGAAGATATGGAAGGTGAGAGTCCCTCAGACTATTCTGCAAATGATATCAGTTCTGCCCTTGATGCTGCCAACAATAACCCAAATTCCATTGGAACTCAACAACTGGAGGTTTTAGTGAGTCTTATCCTTGCCAAGGACTATGATATACAGCAAGCAGCTATGGCAGGAGTTGTTAAATGTGCAGCATTTACAGATAATCAGGTAAGTAGTTTTTATTTATGTTAAGTTGGCAACTGACTAACCACCTCCTTGAGAAATGGTTCCTGCCTTTTGTAAAGCTCGGTGCCCTTTGAGATTTCTGTCTTTGTCACTTTCCTTGATCTTCAGTTTAAAAAGTTAATTTTAAAAAATTCAAACTTTTAAATATTAATAAATATAAATAATAAAGCAATTTTTGAAGAATTTAAATTTTTTTTTTTCTTTTCTTTTTTTTTTTTCTTTTCTTTAAGTAATAAAAATGTCAGATTAAAAAAATAAATCCATTCTTTAAAAATTGCTTTTTTTCACATTTTGGACATGAAGCTGAGCCAATATGGGTTATGAAGAAAATCTAAATGAGAAGATGGGTAGTCCTTAAATTGTTAAATAGAACCTTGTTGGACTGTGACACTCTGTGTTTAAAGCACACTGGATCAGACAGTAGTTTCTTCGACAATGCAGTGACACAGTTTTGTACCCTACCAGAGGGCGCATTTTCTTTAAGTTTTCTTGAGTGCACACTCTGGTAGACAATACACACTATTTATAAAAAAAAAAAAAGAAAAAAGAGAAATGGTTGTCTATTCAAATATGGGTATCCACTAAAAATAATGTTTGAAGTAATAAAAATAACAGTATTAAAATTTTTCCCAAAAAAAACAACAGCATCCAATTGAACAAAAATTGGTCAAGTGAGCCTTGCTGGGCTGTTACACTCTCCATTGCCGAGTGGTTCACACTGGATCAGAGAGTAGTTTCTTTGACAATGGAGGAATGCAGATTTGTATCCTACCAGAGGGCAAATTTTTTTTTTTTTTTTTTTTTATTAATCATCTGAGAGAACCCTCTTTGCCAACCATCAGCATGGCTGATGCTAACCTCTCGGAGAGTGACTCATTTGCTCTTTGTCTGTATCTCTGTCTCTTTGTCTACTCTCTGTCCCTTTGTCCGCCCGCCTACCTCCCATTGTCTGCACCCACTTCTTTGTTTCCCTGTCCCCTTCAATCATGAAAATTCAAAAATGCTGAATGAATTATGGGACATTTCTTTCTAAAAATGAATTTTTCCTGAAAAAAAAAAAAAATCAAGTCATCATCCAGGTGGTGATAAAGTGTGATTGTCCTCATAAAATCCAATAGTTGTCATGGGGATTATCACAGATACAAGTTATCAATTCTTTCTTGTATTCTAAATGATTTTACTTAGGTACCTCCATGAGATCGCTAAAAAAAGAGCATAAAAACAAAAATTTTATCATCTAAATGTTTGTTATTAAGAGGAAAGATCAAAGTATTTTGGGGGTATTTTTTTACATTTTTTTAATCATTCCTAGCATGTCTGAAACTTTCGTTAAAAATCTTGTTTTTTTGAGTCAGCAAAATTGACCATTTTTTTTCCAGTTTATAAAAAACTGGAAATCTCAATTTGAAATTCTTTTAAATATCAAATCATTTTTTCAAAACTTATTTTAAGAAAATCAAATTATAATGTTTATTTAAAATATTTTGAACCAAGCTTAACATTCTGTGTCAAGAAGATGTAATTTGAAAATAAAACAAAGCAGGTCATAAACTTTTGGGAACAACAGCAATCCAGGGCCCCTTAAAACCTCCAATCAAAGACCTTTTCCGGATGTAAATTATCGTCATTTCATTTTTCGGACTCAAACAAGTTTTTTAATTATAGCATCCATCCTTACAGATGCTGGGAAAATAGCTTTCGTTCCTATACTGCTTCAAAATCTTCTCCTGTGAACCTTTTTTGAGTCGAGTACTGCTGCCATATATTGGCGGGATTTACCTAGTCTTCAATTTCCCTTCTCGATAGAGTTTAAAAGTGTCCCTGCGTCCTTGTAGGCGATGAATTATTTTCCAAGTTGCAACCCCTTTCTTTACAGACTAGACGTCATTAAAATCTTTTTCCATGAAATACTCTTTCCTTACACCAGTCCTAATTTTCACAGCTAAACCATGCAATTGTCCACTTTTTTTCATATGCCCTTAGTCATATGCAATTTCCACTCAAACATCTTCCACTAAAATCGAATCCCAAGAGGCAGCTTCTCCGATCACGAAAATCTTAACCTTTTAAAGTCTAAATAAAAAAGCACCTATCCGCATTTTTTGTAACCCACTTAAAACTTAACAACGCTGTAAAACCCCCCAAAAGAAGCGGGTGGTTATAACTCTGGTCAATCCGTTAATGTACATGTATATTTTTGAGCCTAACCTCCACGAGATCAGCTTTATAAAAAAAAAAAAAAAAAAGGAGCACAGCATGATGAAAAAGACGCCAAACTTGACGAAAACAAAATTTTATCGTCTAAATGATTAGGTTATTATTAAGAGTAAAGATCAAAGTATTTTTGGAATATTTTTTTTTTACATTTTTTAATCGTTCCTAGCACGTCCGAAATTTTCGTTAAAAATCTTGTTTTTTTGAGTCAACAAAATTGACCATTTTTTTCCAAATTATAATGTTTATTTAAAATATTTTGAACCAAGCTTAACTTAGCTTCTGTGTCAAGAAGATGTAATTTGAAAATAAAACAAAGCAGGTCATAAACTTTTGCGTCACTTGACAGGTGAGAATGACATATTGATGGATTCTGTGAGGCTAATTTGTTCTATGGGAGGAGAAAAGTGAAATAATTTACATTTAAGTGAACAAATTATTTACCTCGTTATTTTTAAGGAAAACTTTGTGCTCTATTATTTTTTTTTTTTTTTTTTTTTGTACTTAGCTTTTTACCTTTTACGTTTACGATGCTTTATGGAAAATATATATAAAAGAAATTAAAATAAGACTGTTAAAAGATTAAATTTCATATTTCATAAGAAATATCTAAAATTCTTATGTAAGAAATTTTATCTGTACATAAAATACTCTAATTTTATGTACATTTATTACATTTACTGTGTTATTTGTATTTCCAATTTTATTAATTTTGATATTTCATTTATGAAAAAATGTCATAACTGAGATTAATATAAAAATAAGATCATATAAATTTCATAAGATGATACTGATACTTGTGGGTACCCTTCTCAGTTGAAATTGAAAAATCAAATTAACTTCTCCACACGTGTTTTGCAAAAGTAAAGGCCTTAACAGCGAAAAACAATGCTTAACGCAACTTAATTGTATTCTGGTTGGTCTTCTGTACTTTATAATTACAGCCCGACTATAAACACAAAATTACATTTCTTAATTACTGCGGATCTTCTGATTAGTCAAAATGATACAATTTACAACGCGCTAAAAAAAGATCCATCTCATAAGGAGACTTCGGAAACCGGATGTGGCTTTTAACTAATTTTATAATATTTTAACAGCTTAAATCTAAAAATCTATTATAATTAAGAAATAACAAATAATTGTATTAAAAATTCATTTTTCCTCGAAAAAATTTTTTGCTTTCAGAAAATATTGTCCATATTCATAAAAACAACTAAAAGCATTTGAAATTAAATAATATATTTGTTTTATTGAGTTTTGTATGTTACAATTCAGAGCTGATTTTCAGGCAGGGGGTCCAATTAAAAACAAAAAAAAACATGATTTGCATTCCTCAAAGCCTTGTGCTTTTAACTATTGTAATCACTAAACCCAATGCGATCGAATTTCTAGCATTTTCATAAAATTAGTTGGGGTGGGGGTAATAAATATAAAAAAATATTTTTGCCATGACTTTAATAAAAAAAACATATTTATAATAATTTCGATCATCTGTGAATAGTTCCTGAAAGTTTCATTAACATCCGACAATTATTTTTATTTTTGCAAGATTTTCCAAATTAATGTGTGTCATACCAAAAAAACGTGCTAAAAATTGTCTGTTATTTTACTAGTTCTGGTGATACAAAGAGAAACAAGGTTTTTTTAATCAAAATTTAGAATGTTCTAAAAAGAAGGAAAAATTTTAAAAAATAATTAAAAAAAACTTTGGTCTTTCCGCTTAATAATAACATAATCATTTAGATGGTAAAATTTTGTTTTCGGAAAGGTTGGAGTCTTTTTCATCAAGCTATGCTCTTTTTTTAGCGATTTCATGGAGGTACCAAATTTTACTCTTCCTTGATCACATGAATTTGTTACTTAACTCATTTATTTCAGTGTCCCTTTATCTCAAACTGTTTCTCTATATAAGACTTTTATTTATTTTTTTATATAAAAATTCATTTGCAGCTTAAAAAAATATCATCAAAAGAAAAATTAATCTTATGTACATTTCTCGTAAAAGGTCTCTTGATAGAATAAACTAAGTGGTGATGGGAAAGCGACTAATACAAAGCCTGCCAAAAAACAAAAAAAAAAAAACAGAAACAGTCACTTACCTAAACAAACCCAAAAATTACTTGAGAATTATCTAACTTGAAATGGAAAACTAAATCAAGACAGAGCCTTAGCAATAACAAAAGCCAGGAGTCCATCTTGGGCAGTATTTCCCAACATGGGTTCTAGTCCCCCCTTGTGGTCTCTGTTATGTTGAAACATAATAATAGTATAGTTTGTTTGTTTTTTTTTGTTTTTTTTTTTATTTCATTTGGTTAGATGGTCAACATCAGGCAACAGTGGGCATTTATTTCTAAAAGAAATCACCTGCAAATTAAAAAATGAGATCTACTATTTCTGTGATGGAACCTAGAGTAAGAGCCTTAGTCAGTAAGCACCAATGTCAAGAATCACATTGAAAACATTGAGATAAGTTATCAAATAAAAGTTGTTTTTTGAGTATTTTAATCATTGGAATTTATAATAGGAATGAAAACAATATTAAAATTAATTATTTTTGCACTAATACCCAAGTGTTATCTTGCTAAGAAAAAATGATTCAGTAAAAAAAAGTTCGATCAAGGGGGGTGCTGACTGAGAAAAAAAAAAGTTTGGGAAACACTGATTAGGGACACAAGTCTATAACTGCTACTTTGTTTCATGCCAATTGTGATCTTGAGTCAATTATAGTTGGTGTGAAATTCAGAGGATTTTCTTATAGATTTGTG